CTTCTAAATGCTCAGAGTTCAGTGATTTAAAAAAAGCTTTCAATGGGTAAAATATCAAAAACTGAACATATATCCCTCTCCATTAATGAAATTGAAATTAATAGGCAGTAGGTTTAAAAACAAACAGAAGGAAGTTTTTCTTCACTTGGCACACAGTCAATCTGTGGAACTCCTTGCCACAGGATGTGGTTAAGGCTAGGACTTTACCAGGGTTCAAAAAAGAGCTAGATTGATTCATGGAAGTTAGGTCCATCAATAGCTATTAGTGAGGATGGGTAGGAATGATGTCCCTAGTCTCTGTTTCTCTGGAGCTGGGTGACAGGGGAGGGATCACGTGAGGATTACCTGTTGTGTCCCCTCCCTCTGGGGCATCTGGTATTGGCCACTGTTGACAGACAGGATACTGGGCTGGATGGACCATTGGTCTGACCCAGTATGGCTATTCTAATGTTCTTATGTTCTAAAGTTTTTGGCTGCTACCTGTCAAATGTGAATGTTTTGTTTTTGATACTTCACCTATGGGAAGCTTTTATGTAACACCATGATGTATCATGAAAGCATGAAACGAAGAAATGTGTGTGTGTGTGTGTGTGTGTGTATACACATGCACACACACACATTTCAAGCTTTAATGATACATGATTTATTTATTTACATAGATTTTAAACAGGATGTTTTAGCCCTTTTCACAAGAGTGGTCAAAACATTTTGCATTTTAATGGAAAATCAGGAGAAAATTGTCATACATTTTAATTCCACAAATTAATGTTTAATTACTAAGTTAAAGAAGAAAATTACCTTTGGGCTGTTATTCCACATTTTCTCACCTCAAAGTTCCTCCCTTATGCTTTCTGATACCACATGATATCAGGTGCCAATGGAAACAAGAGAATGGATTAACTGGATATATCGTTTGATCTAGTATGGTAATTCCTAGATTTTTGTGTTCCAAATCAGTAAGGTAACATGGCCCAAATATCAAACAAACCTACTTTCTGACTCCTGATGGTCCAGGAAAAACTCCTGCAGTTAGGCCCAGACTTAGGGCAAGGTGAGCAAGGCAGTTGCCTTGGGCCCCTCACCTTCAGGGCCCTGTGCTGCTCAGCACCCGCCTGCCCATCGACTCGCTCGCTGCCCTGGCTGGGAGCCGTCCTGCCACGCGGTGCAGCTAGGGTTGCCAGATGGTTTAACCAAAATTACCTAACACCTGCCCCCAGAACAAAACAAAAACAAAAACAAAGCCACTGTGGAAAAAAATCTGTTAAAAAAAAGGGGGAGGGATACCAAAGTTTTGAGCTATTAAAAAAATTATTTGAAAAAAAAAAAGCATGTCCCCTTTAAGAAATGCTTTTGAGGCTTTTTGGCCCTAACAGGCTGCAAGCGGCTGTCCACCATCTTGTCTTCCTGCTCCGGGCCAGACAGCTCCCCTGTAGAACCAGGTAAGCACCCAGTATTTTTGTCTCCTGGCCAGGAAAAAAAATCAGAAAATACTGGACATTTTAGGTGTCCGGTATTTTCTGGATTTTTTTATCGGACAGGAGGCGAAAATACTGGACTGTCCAGGTGCAGCTAACCACAACATGCCACTTGGGCCCCACAAACTCTTTGGCCTGCTTGTAGTAGGGAAAAGATCAATGGGGATTCTTTTCCTGGGACCAATTTAGGGTTAGGATTCCGCAAAAGCATTCTTCTGCTGAACACCACAGGGCTAAAATGCTCTTGATGGAGTCCTAGCACCAATGAAGTTAGAGGGAGTTTTCTTATTGACATCAGTGGAGCCAAGATCTCACAACTGATTGCTCCCTTCCCACATGACAAACAAGAAACACTAAAAAAAAAAAGTGTGTGGTGATTGATTAAGAATATGCTAAAATTGAATCAGAGTTGATTTTTGTTATGTGTAGTGTTGGGAGAGGCAACTTGCTGTTAAGGCCTCCCTCAGTCCAGAAGGCTTTATAGTCCATTAACACAGTTCAAGTGACTTAATAATAAATACATCTGTCTTAACAAAATGGACTTGTGATAAGAACTTAGCTTGTGGTGACACAGCTGTGAATCTCA